AAATTGAATACATGCATTTCAACCAAAACAAGCTACAGTTGTTCAATGTTTCCTGTGGCTCCACAAAATTCACATGCACATGTGTCTGTAGACACATAGTGAAGTTATCACTATCATTTTATTCCTGTTTTTCTGATGCCATAGCATCAGACGGCTGAAGCTTTTGAAAGGTTATGTAACTTGTCCAAAGTAACAGAACTAATAGTAGAAAATCAGTTTTATGCATTGTATAATCTACCTCAGGAATACATCCTTTAACCATGGAGTTGTGACTAGGTCAATTTGCATCTAATCTCTTCTGTATCTATTTATATCTATATCTATCTATCTATATATCTATCTATGGCCCAGTCTCCCAACTCTCCTCAAATTCATTTGTATGTAGCATGCAACTTTCCTTCCCAGGATGTAGCAATTGCCAATCACATTTGATCCCATACTGGGAATAACTCAACTTTTTAAAAATTTATGATTGTGGTAGTAGGAATTGAACCAAGGCAAGTGCCACCTAAATACCTTACAAAGCCGACATTCTGTACACAACGTAGAAGACAGACTTTTGACATTCTCATGACATGTAGGGGCATTTGCTCTAACAACCCAGAAATTTTCAGAGGGTCAGCCAGGTACAGTGTGAACTGGAATAAAAAGGCTTTTCTTTTACTCCTTTTGTGCTCTGTTGACACTTTCTATCCCAAATTTGAAAAATAATTTGACCAGCTGGGGATGTAAATAAATGGCAGAGAGCTGGTATAGCATGTATGTGTGAGGCCCTGGATTCAATACCCAGCTGTGGGGGGTGGAGGGTGATGAAGAAACATTGCTGAGAAAAATTTGACCAGTTAATTTTGTAATGATCAAGTCATTTACACACATTCAACCTCCATGTTTTTTCCTTTATTTTCACACTGAACTCATATATGTCTTAATAAATGTACACTTAATAGAATGTGAGCAGTTCGCCAAGGTTAAAATGAAGTTGATATTCTAATGTAACTTTTAAAATAGCAGAAGACTTTTGAAATTAAGAAGTGCTATAGTATAAATTAATTTCACTTGAGGCTTATGTCATTTTCAAACTTTATTTGCAATTTTGACATTTGTGCTAATTATATTTTCAGTATTTACAACAATAAAGCTGCCTTCAATTCAAAATACGTTATTCCTTTAAAAGAGTAATTAGTTCTGAAGAAACTCTGAGGAAAATATCTTATGCAATATTGTTACTGATTTCTACAATGTATTTGATGGCATAACTAAGTTCTGCACATGTTTCAATACTGAATCATGAAATAGTGAATGAATGTTGGATCTACTAAATATTTTCATGAGAAAAATACTTTGCTTTTCTACTGAAATATATGTCCATAATATGTTGTTTTCAATTTTGCAACAAGGTACATGAATAAGATTGTAAGCATATGTTGATTATAGATACTGTAACATAACACTTTATTATACAGAATAAGAAAATGAAACTTGTGAAATTTGAATGGAAAATTTATTGTTGTGCTGTCATCTAGTGGTCATAGAGTATATAATATATACTAAAAAATTAGTTGAGATCTTAATTTTCTATGCAAATTGTGACATTGACCTTTCATATATAAACATAGCCTATGCTAAAAAATACCAAACATTAGTCATCTTTTTAGTTTGACAGCCTTGAATTTACTCTTATTCTTGAAGATGAATTTAACAAATTGATTGTACATTATCAAACAGCAAAAGCTATCCTCCTTACATAAAACCAAACACATATCTTAGACTAACAAGCACTTAAGGAGTAAATAGCACATTTTCAATGTAACGTGCTTTTGTGCATGAAATATTCATTATTTTACTGTATAATTTTATAGGCCATCTTGGTATGTGTTCAATAAAAACTAGCAAGTGCCACTTATCACCTTAACCTAGAAATTCTGCTTCATGGCTTTTTCATATCTTCAGACTGAAGAACAAATTGGATCAAAATTCTAGATTTCATAAATTTGAAATACAAAATTATAGTAGCTATCTACTCTTATAATATGTGTTTTATGGGGGAAATGGCAAAGAGAAAAAAGGTATAGAAATTAATTCTGAGATGTATAATGTGAGAGGGGAGATCTAGTATACTTCCTATTCAAAAGTAGAGAGATATTGGGGAGGAATGTATAAAAGTGCAGCATATAACAATAGAGACATTTCAGATAAGTGGAAAAGATTATCTTCAAAAAAATATTGTAGGAAAAATTAGTCATTAAAGAGAAAAATAAAACTGAAACCTACTTTCACATATTTCTTTACTTTCACATATTAAGTTAAAGCAATTCTTGAATCAAAAATCCAAATATAAAACAAAAAGATAACTTTAAAATTTAAGAAGTGATAAGAGGATATAAGCATTATCTGTAGCTAGAGAAATAGAATCTAAACAAAAGATCAGTTGAGAAGGAAAGGTTCTAAGAAAATATTCTGGATTTAAAAATATAAATATTAAATTTTCCATTTGCTCCATATGAACAAATTTGATGGCAAACACAGATTAGGAAAAAATATTTAAAATACATATTCCACACAATAATTAGTATCATCCTTATTATATAAGTATCTCTTAAAATAAGAAAAAAAATATTTTACTTATGAACAAGCCCAAACTTTTCTAGTAAGTAAGAAATATAGACTGCTGGGTGCCAGTGGCTCACACCTGCAATCCTAGCTACTCAGGAGACTGACATCAGAGGACCACTGTTAGAGGCCAGCCTGGCGAGACCCCATCTCCAAAACAACCAAGGCAAAAAGGACTGGAGTTGTGGCTCAAGTGGTAGAGCTCCTGCTTTGCAAGTTCAGAGCCCTGGGTTTAAACTCCAGTCCCATCCCTCCCAACAAAAAAGAAATAGGGCCATGAAGAGGAATGAAATTATCCAATTTGCAGGAAAATAGAGAACTGAAGCTCATCATACTAAGAAAAGCCAAGCTCAAAAAGCCAAATATTGCATGTTTTTGCTTGAATGAAGAATCTAGACCTAAAATAATAATAATACTGAGTAATAATACAATAATATATAAAATAGTTTGAATCTAAAGGGGGACTGTCAAGGGGATCAGTCAGTGAGAGGAGGGAGAAAGGAGAGAGTACTAGGTGGTGAAGAAGATCTAAGAATTTGTTCAAAGTACACTGCAGGCATTTATGGAATTATCAAAATGAAACACCTTTGTACTATTATTGTATGTCAACAATTTTTTAAAATATGAAGAATTACTTTTCTTTCCTTTGCTATTACATTGACAAAGATACCACATATTCTATCCTGAAGATACAATAGAAAATCCATTTTCAAAATCACCAGTCTACTGCCTAGCAAGCATGAGATCCTGAATTCAAATTCTAGTACCACCACCAAAATAAAAAAATCAATGTTCTGAGTACACTTTAACCTAGTCATCCCATCTGCTACAGATATATTCCAAAGACAGACTCTGTAGTGGTCAAAGGATTTTAAGCATAATACTCACCAAAGCATTACTTATTATAGGTAACAACCTTTAAGATGTTTTTATGGTGCTTCTACATGACAGAATATTATGAAATCATTATAGATTTTATTTTCAAGTAACATTTCATAACAGACCCCAAAACTTTATTAGCATTTAAAAAACGAACAGATATATCATAGAATTTTCTGTGCTTTTCTGAAAAGTTTAAATCACTTACTTTTTATTTTTTTATTTTTTTTGGTTTTTTTTGTTTTTTTTTTTTTTTGACAATACAGGGGTTTGAGCTTGGGACTTCATATTGCTAAGTAAGCCCTCTATCACTTAAGCCACCCCTCCAGACCTTTTTACTCTGGTATTTTTGAGATAGGGTCTCGCTTTTTGCCCAGGAAAGGCCTGGACTGTGATCCTCCTATTAATGCTTCTCACAGTAACTGGGATGACAGGTGCATGTGCCAGCATCCAGCTTTTTCTGTTGAGATGGGGTCTAGGAAACTTTTTGCTTGGGCTGGTCCGGAATCACCATCCTCTTGATCTCAGCCTTTGAATAGCTAGGATTGCTAGTGTGAGCCCAGCAACTTTTTAAATTTTTTAGACAAAGAAAAAAAAGATTGTCTTAAATACAGGTTGCTAGTTGTGTTCACATGAGGCAAATGTTGGTTATTTGATGTAAAATATCAGGGATTGTAATCAATTTCTTGACTTCAATTTCTTCACTTGACTACATATGAAGGACTTGTACTATATAAAGGACTGGGAGCCATTAACCACTGAATATTTTTGTTGGTTCTCAAAGTTAAATCCACTTTTTAAATTTTTTTTGGCACCTACACTTCTAGTGTTCACATTCTTTTAGAGCAAAAACAGCACATGAAGCATGGCTGGATATTTAAAAAAAAAAAATCAATGAGTGGAACATCTCTGAAATCCCCTAAGGACTTTCAGCTCCCAGAGCCCTAAGCTTCCTCCCCGGTAGCAGTGCTATTTACTAGGGTCCTATTTCACTTCACTTAGCCATGCCAGGCTGACACAGAAGGACTCATATGAGTCGAAGAGGACCAAACTGGCTTGTCTCCATGTCAGCAGCAAAAATACTACTTTGAGAAACTATCCCCTTTGCTCTCAGGCCAATATAGCAGAAAACAAAATACGCTGTTAGGAAGTAATCCATTAACCAGGATGGGAAGGGTAGTTGCACTGATATACTGATATAACACTTTGTCCAAAACTGTCTTGGTTCTTGTCTATGGATGGCCAGGGAGGTTAAATTTAGAAACAGCGAGGAAATACTGAATTCCTGCAGCAATACCAGAGATACAATACATATCTCCCTCCAAATTTCCTCACACAAACATGCAACAAACTCCTAATGTTTATGTGCCATAGTAGGGCAGACTTTTAAAACATGTGGGATGATCGCACACAAAACACTGTATGCAGCATGCTGACAGCACACATTAAGGGGTAATTATTGCTATTATTCTTTGAGCTATACACACATTAATAACACTTCCTTAACTTATCTTCTAGCAAAGAAAGCTCTTCATCGAAATGGTCAACATAAGGAGATTGTGAGAAATAATCCAAGTTGGGTGCTGGCTGAAAAAATTGTCCTGTGTAACCTGATGGCATGAGCATCTCTGGAGGAACAAGAGAGCTGGACTGAGGCTGTTCACCGGTTTGTTGTCTAGAAAAAGAAAAGAAAATACTACTATTCATTCATGTAATAAGGGATATCAAAACAAATCAAGGGAGTAGACCATACCTTTCCTTTTATGAATTCACCTTGTTTTTATGAGTATTAACCCATAAGGAAATAACCTGCTTGGCTTCCTGGGGTTTACCACAGGCTGCATTCTTTCACTGACCATATAGCATTCTTATACTGACCATATAGAAAGATAAGGCAAAGTAAACCTGCTCCACGTACACCTAAGCCCAGGCCCTGTGCCTGGTCTGTATTGTTAATGGGGAAACACATGGTGGGGGAAAATTATCTTTAATCAAAAATAAAATAAAATAACTGGTCATGAAAAGGTTTCAAGAAGAATGATCTATGGCAATCAATATTAATTGGGCATGGACCATATGCTAGACATTGTTCCTCTTATTTTTAAAGGGTCAAAACTGTATTTTGATCCTATCTTACAAGAAATGAAATGAAAGCTCTTAGAGAATGAATGACTTGCTTGGCATCATGGCAGGTATTAGATTCTGACTAAAACTTTCTGAGCAGTGCTCTCCTCCCTATACGGGGAAGCTTTTCCACTTATCTTCAAGGGCAATCACCAATTAGATTTATTAGTATAAATCTGCAGAAGCAGCAAGGGAAAAATCTTAATTTTAATAGTATAGTTAAACCAATGAGAAAAAGCAAAATATATAAACTGTTGTCTATAAAGATTTGTACTCTCCAGTTCTATTGTCCATCAAATTATGTTTGAGTACCATTCCCAGAGAATTATTGTCCATCAAAGTATTATGTAGTTAACTTCAGAGTCTCTCTTTCAAAATATGCAGTTTTTTGTCAAAACATGATATTTCAATACCTCCCTGAACATGGTTTTGTTTTTTGTTTTAACATTTGTGTGAGAAAGTTGGAAAATATTGAACTTTGTGTAAATAACATCATGCTAGAGCTAGTGAAAGGAAGAATGGAGAAAGGGAGAATGTGTAAGGTTATTTATTCATAGTTTTTAACCTAAATGAAAAGAAAGAATAATAAAGAATCATCCAGAGAGGGTAAATGAAGGAGTAAAGAAGGGTGAATATGGTTGATGTACCTTCTATACAATTATGATTATGGACTATTGAAACCTGTTGAAGTCACCCTATGGAGGGGTAGGAGAGAAAATAATGGGGGGGGATGAATCAAGTCGGGATATAAAGCATGTATATATGCAAATGTCATAATGAAACCCTCTATGTAATTATCATGTATCATTAAAAATGTTTAGCAAAAGAGTCACCCATTAACACTTTTAAGGTTTTTTCATGAAAGGTTCTTAGCGTAAGCTAAATATACAGTCCAAAATTCTGAACTTTGTAACTTCCTGAAATCTCTTTGTGTTATTTACAAAATGTTTGTTGATTATTTCCTTCTAATATTAATGTTAATACAAAGTGTAAGAATGACATATTCAACCTTTTGATATGTGTAAGCTAGGCTGAGAAAATAACCTATTTGGGTAAATAGAGCCACAGAGATACAGGGAGAGATATGCACTTAACCATTCATTAACTGAACCCTAGCATATTAAGGGGCATGCATTTTGTGTAGTATTTTTAATTATCATAACATATGCTGATTACTGTAGCTGTTCTTTCAGTCATTATGCATATTACTAACCTTTTTTCCTTTTACAAAAAAGCAGGTACACTATCAAATTACCAGTATGAAGAAATTTTAAATAAGAATCTGAATAGCTTGCTAGTAGGTAAAAATCCCCCTAATTTATATTTTTAAAAATATTCTTTTCTAGAAAAATCAAAGGGGCAGATAAAGATGATCCAATGGACCAGTGTCTGAATAAAAATTTTACTGACACATTTGACTGGCCTCACAGGAACTCATGCCCTGCTAACCAGGTGTAACGAAGTGTAACTTTCACAATTATTCCTGCAGAGGAACTTCTTTGAACAGGGCACTTAGCATGGATAGCTACTTTAACCCAGTTCTCTCCCTCAAGTGAAGAACCATCATTTATACATTTAAAAATGGCTCACACCTGTAATCCTAGCTACTCAGGAGGCAGAGATCAGGAGGATCTCAGTGAGAAGCTAGCCTGGGCCAATAGTTCATGAGACCTTATCTTGAAACAACCCATCACAAAAAAGGGCTGGTAGAGTGGCTCAAGGGGTAAGCCCTGAGTTCAAGCCCAGTACCACCAATAAATAAATAAATAAATAAATAAAAAATGTATGGACTAGAGGCATAGCTCAAACACGTAGAATGCTTGCCTAGCAAGTGCATACCCTGAGTTCAAATCCTAGTACAGCCAAAAAAGTTCATGTATGTGTGTGTATATATGTATATATATATATATATATATATATATATATATATATACATATATGTGAAATCTGGTACCAGCTAAATCTTGTTTGCTCCTCTTTCCTCCACCCGTTTGCTTTTTCATCCAGCTAAATTTCTCCAATAGGAATTTGGCCTTATTGTTCTTATTACAATGAAGACACTACTTCAGAAAGTAAATTCTTTTTTTTTTTTTGGCCATTTTTTTTTATTATTCATATGTGCATACAAGGCTTGGGTCATTTTCCCCCCTGCCCCCACCCCCTCCCTTACCACCCACTCTGCCCCCTCCCTCTCCCCCCTACCCCCTCAATACCCAGCAGAAACTATTTTGCCCTTATTTCTAATTTTGTTGTAGAGAGAGTATAAGCCATAATAGGAAGGAACAAAGTAAATTCTAAAAATTTTCCCTATAAAGGAAACCTCAAAATTTTTTATTAAAACTACCATGCCTAACTTCCAAGAATTAAAATTCTTTTTTTTGTCTTATCACTTTGGCTTTGTGCACACTGAATATACTATTTAACACTTACTTCTTAATGAACAAAGTCCAAATAATATCAAAATAGTTAACAGTGGAAAGTCCCACCCCAATAGCTCTATCAATAGCCCACGTCTTTTAAGTCTTTTTCCTGAAATTGTTATGCACAATTGCAATTTAAACACCCACTGTGAATTTACTCTTACCCATGACTTCTGGTATCAACTGCTTTTATTTTTTATTAGTTGCTGTCAACTCAGAACGGCTGTGCCAATGAGTTCTTTCCTATTCTTAGTGACATCTTTCAAGACTACTATATCCAATGTACCCACCCCCAATAATTTTAAAAAAAGACTACTATATCCATTTATGAAAAAAAAAATTTCAGGGGGAATTAGACTAGACACTACTGTATGTTCTGTTAAGCCAATAGCACTGAATGATTAACCTATTAGAGATAATTGCATAAGTCAAATGAACATAACCAATATGGGAGATGTGAAGAGTACACACATCTGTAGGCTGAACAGCAATGGGAATTTTTTCTTCTGGGACTGGGATGTAGCTCAGTGGTTGAGTGCTTGCCTAGCATGTGTGAGGCCCTGAGTTCGATCCCCAGCACCAAAACAGAAAAGAAAAAAAAATAGTTTTCTTCTGGATCACACAAAATCTTTATTAGTTCTTTGAGAAGGCAAATACTGAAACTGAAATTGTGATGCTTTCTAATTCAGCCCTTATTCCAGATTAAATAAATGTCTACTGGATTATAGCTCAAAGAACTGGATTGTAGCAAGTAATGTTAAATGTTACCTTTGTTAGTGAACAACCTGTCTTCCTGTGAAAACCAGTTCAAGCAACTGTGAAGTGGCTGTAAAGGCTCTGTAAAAATAATCACAGCATTTTCGGTCCTGTCTCCTTTCTTTCATTTTCTAATGCTGTGGAGTTGCATTTCTGCCTTTAATGATCTTCCGGTTTTAGATTTATTCTGAACCAACTAAAATGAATAGTCAACCTTGACCTCTTGAGTTAGCTCTTTGTGATTGAATCCCTGTTTCATAATCTTAGGGAAATTACTTCACATTCTGTGCCTCAGTTTTTTCATCTGTAAAATGAAGATAATAACAAATTTCATGGGTGTTGTGAATTGAATTAGCTAAAGCAAGGATTTAAATAGTGTTGCTTACATGAGAAGTAAATAATAGTCATTAATTATTTGCATACTTCTTTCTTCTTGAGAATTAAGGATAAAGCATTCTAGACATTTTTCCTGCACCCAGGAATAGCAAGTTGTCCTCCGGACTGTGACTTCCTCAAAGAAAGTCAACATTAGTAGAAAGCTGAGAGTTTGTGTCCCCTTTGTGCAGGTCATCTTTAGTTTTTTTCCATTTTTGTTTCCAAAAATGATTTCCACAACATTCTACCAGTCCTGTGTTTTCCTGCTACACGATGCCATGATTTATGTCTCTGAGCTATAATGTCCACATACCTGATTCATAAACAAACCCTCTGTATCTTCACCAGTTCTTCAATATAACCTACTAACCACCCACATCTGGGTGACAAACCTCCAACCAACTTCTAGACACTTCTCTTTACTTACATACCAATATACCTAAGTAATACTAAAGTAATATGTGTAAGCATAAGGGATAGTCAGAGAAACTTTTTTTAACCTGTTTTTGAGTGAGTAGGACTTAACATTTGTTAAGAAATAAAGAAAAACAAATATTGTTTTTCTATATTGAAAACATAGAAAAATCATTGTTAGAAGACTCAGTTACAATAATTTCTGTGTTTGGAGATACATTTGTTGTGTACCATCAGTTTTTTGTGCCATTATCATTTTCTATATATTTTATTACAGGTTTTGATTTTTCAAAAATATAGGTTTGGACTTCTGTCATGATGGTCAACTGATGTCACTTCCCTTTTTCAGTCTGACATTGAAGGAATGCAGGTGGTGAATTCACTCCCAATGGCATAGGGAGAGCTGGCTGAACTTCAGGTGGTGAGGTATGTACCAGCACAATTCATTGTATTCCATCTCCACATTTGCCTCATATTCAAGTATAAGTGTACTTCTTTGAGTCAGCTGACATTGAATCCCCTAAGGAATCTGAAGACACAAAGACTTTCAAACTTTATATGAACGCCACCAGAAACAGCATAAGACAAGAATATGAAAGGTCAACAATAAAAATAATCTGTTGATTAAAAAAATTTATTCTGGACTCCAGGGAACATTTTATCTATGTAAGGCTCCAACTGAGTTTACATGAGTAAATTTGGGCATTATGAATACTTTGCAAGACCATTGTATAGGATGTTTGATGGTAACATGTGTTGGGGGATAATGGCCGAAGAGTTGGCTTATGCAACTTCCTAGATCCTCGTGCTCCAGCTGGTGACAGTGATGACTTCAACTGTGTTTGAAATACTAGAGGAAGATTACACTAGAGGTCTGAAGATTTAGAAAAGATTATGATTTAGTATTGGCTTGTTAAATTCTTACCAAAATATTCAAAAGGGAGTTTTCCAAATGTTCACACCTTTTTGCAGTAACATATATTTCTTTGTCCAACTAACAGAATATATTTTTTATTTCAATAATTCAAAAAGTATTGTGGAAAATATAGTCTAGCTATGAGTGGCTGAAAATTATTTCTAAATGAATGACTGAATAATTATTTTTTAAATGAAATAGTCCCTCCCTGTTCATTTTAAATAAACCAATACAATACCTTAAGTGAATGTTGAGATGTTTAAATATAAATACTTTAATTATTTTAGTAAGCCCAAACAACTTTTAGATCATTTGCCATTAAATCAAATAGGGTTTTAGAAACAAGTTCCCACATATTGACAGCAAGGACCTCAGGAGGAGGTCAAAGAAGAAGGGAGAGGGGGGGAGGAAGAGTGAACTGATTGACTAGTAATAAATATCCTCTGGATTCCTACATCTTTTTCCAGGAAAACTATTCTCTGGATGCTTATATATTTTCCCAGGATGGGCAGCATCTTATTCTGATGTGGGATGCATTTTAATTGAATTATTCAAAGTATGAATAAGAGAAAAAAAATCTGAAATTCTTTGACATGCACTAATAAATCACAGACCCGACTCCACATTTTCATGTGCCTCATAAAAATACCACAGCTAAAATCCTTTCTTAATTCTGAGTCTTTTGGTATGCCCTGGAATCAGGGGTCAGATTTAAATAGCAAGCATCTGAAGCAGGTGAGGCTGTCATCCCGATCCACTGTAATCATGAGCTTCTCTCACTTGCTGGTCATTTGCCATATTGATTTCTAGGAAATGTTGATATCAATAATCAAATGGAAAAATAAACTTTGTTAGGGTGGGGTAGGGAGAGAAAGCTGTAATCCATGAGTCCTCACTTAAGGAGAAAGCTTTATTTCCTTCTTGTTGGACTTTTGACTTTACTTCAGTCTGAAAACATAAAGAGTACCCAAGTACTGAGTCCATTTGGAAAACAGGATAGATAAAATAAATAGAAAATTTAAGGAAACTGGTTCATTTCTATAAAACGGTATTGCAGAGCTGAAAAAAAAAGCCGATTAAATGGCTCTCATTATGGATTATATGCTTAGACTGACCATCCTGGAATAGTTTAATGTTCGTACTCACTCTGTCTCAAGCACTTTTTACATTTGCAGTTGCAAAAAAAGACTATATACCAATGCCTTTCCCTATCATTATTAGAGCATGGCTAAATAATAGTAACGAGGAATAAGCTTGGCAAAGCAGCATTCATTGCTTATATGTGTAGGATGATCAATGAATAAAAATAGGGTATAAATTTCCATGTGCAGAGAGGAAACACATACACACACACGTCTCATATTTTTTATGTTTTCCTCTTTCCATCTGGAGCTTGTTTAAAAAACAAGAATTAGTCACTTAAAAAGTATTTCAAGTATGAAAAGTATTACATCTGAAACACTTTTTTGAATATATAAATGCATTTAAAATACAAAAGTACTTTTCATGAGGTTATTTGACCTTGATTTTTGGAATGATGCAATCAGCACATATTCTAGTGTGCTTAAGATGGTCCAGTTCATTGCTACTATTCCAATATTATTATTAATAATCACACCTATTTTAAACTAAAATTTCTTTATTTTATAATTAATTACATATTATTTACCCTCATCAGTCTAATCAAACAACTTTGGACTAAAATTCTAACTTCATTTCTTAATTACGGATCTTGAGATAGTTTGTTAAGAAACTGGCTGGTTTCTCATATGTATTTGATCCAGCAATACCACTCTTGGGGATATACCCAAAAGACTGTTACTCCAGAGGCACCTGCACATCCATGTTTATTGCGGCACTATTCACAATAGCCAAGTTATGGAAACAGCCAAGATGCCCACACTGACGAATGGATTAAGAAAATGTGGTATCTATACACAATGGAATTTTATGCAGCCATGAAGAAGAACGAAATGTTATCATTCGCTGGTAAATGGATGGAATTGGAGAACATCATTCTGAGTGAGGTTAGCCTGGCTCAAAAAACCAAAAATCGTATGTTCTCCCTCATATGTGGACATTAGATCAAGGGCAAACACAACAAGGGGATTGGACTTTGAGCACATGATAAAAGTGAGAGCACACAAGGAGGGGTGAGGATAGGTAAGACACCTAAAAAACTAGCTAGCATTTGTTGCCCTTAATGCAGAGAAACTAAAGCAGATACCTTAAAGCAACTGAGGCCAATAGGAAAAGGGGAACAGGAACTAGAGAAAAGGTTAGATCAAAAAGAATTAACCTAGAAGGTAACACCCACGCACAGGAAATCAATGTGAGTCAACTCCCTGTATAGCTATCCTTATCTCAACCAGCAAAAACCCTTGTTCCTTCCTATTATTGCTTATACTCTCTCTACAACAAAATTAGAAATAAGGGCAAAAGAGTTTCTGCTGGGTATTGAGGGGGGGAGAGGGAGGGGGTGGAGTGGGTGGTAAGGGAGGGGGTGGGGGCAGGGGGAGAAATGAACCAAGCCTTGTATGCACATATGAATAATAAAAGAAAAATGAAAAAAAAATAATAATTCACCAATTCTTTTTACATAAAAAAAATAAATAAAATAAAATAAAATAAAATGGGTAACATAGTGGTACCCCTCTCATGAGGTTTTTTGAGGATCCAGTAAGTTAATTCATAAAACTCACAGCAATTCCTAATACACAATAAGAGCCCAATAAATGTTAGTTATTAAGAAAGTTGAAGAGTGTGACCCTTTCCCCAGATTACTAACTTAGACCCACAAAACAACATGCAAAAAAGCAACCATATAACCAAAAGCAATAAAGTTAAGTGACTTCAGGCAGCAAATTGTCCATTGCTCTTTTAAAGTATACTTACCTAATATTCAGATTGTGGTTTTCCTTTAATACATACATACTTTCCTACACATTAACACAATTGTTCCTTATAACAATTATACACAAGTAGGTATTATCAATATCCTTATGTCTCAGATAAAGACAGAGAAATTAAGTCTTCCCGATGTCATGAAAATAATCAATGCTAGAGCCAGAACTTAAAAAAAAAATCCCCCGACTTTACATATGTTATTTTGATACTAGTAAAGATAAATACTAAATTCATAATCAACTTAGGTAAAATTTTCATCTCAACTAATATATTATGAAATATGTTTATGTCAATTCAATCATAGCACTTTTCATAATGCCTGTGTATTATAAATGCATAGTTAATTGCCCAACTTCTCAAAATGAAATCCTAAATTTTGTGAGGGAAAAGAATTTCATCCTTATCCTTAATTTCTGACACATAGCAGATACTCAATAAATGTTTATTAAATTAGATGAAATTTGTTTCTCTAGTACTGCTCTAAAAATTATCAGATAAAAGGAAAATTCTATTTATATAGTGCCTGTATTCAGGCTCTTTTTAAAGTGTTATTTTGGTAAGATACTCATTGACATAGGACTCAAATGATAGAAGGCATTCATGGAAAACTGGATTAATTTTGCTGCCCTTTCTTCTCATTTCTTTTTTGGATATGCTGAGAATAACTGTCTTCTCCCATGAAAACCTACCTACATGGAACCCCTTGCAGTAATATTAACATTTCTCAAAATGTGAGCATATTTGCTCAATATAAAATACTCACCCTCTAGAGCCATAAACATTTTCATAGGAATTAGAAACATTATAGTTCTGCTCCTGATTATCAATGGTATAATTAGATTGGTAAAAATCAGGATCGAACTGTCCCAAATTCGACAATCCTAAAAAAAGGAGTGTTTTTTATGAACTTCTTGAGTCAATAACTTTTTGAGACATTTAGAAAGATTAATTGATGGTGTAATTATGGCTATATTTCTATCAAAGACAATGTATTTTGGGCAGAGTAAATTAAGTATTTGGGGACGAGTATGGAAATATATGCTAGAAAGCCATTGACAAAATGTGTCATCATCGACCACGTTTTTGAAGTTTTCACACTTTCAGTTTTTAACTATGACAAAATTGACTTTACTTGAGCTGAAAGAACTAGCATTTCCCACAAAATACCTTATTCCTAGCAGTTTAAGAGAAAAAATTGGTATACATCTGGAAAGTTTTCCCTCACGCAATGTTAATTCCTCACTAAAATGCACACACACACACACACACACACACACACACACACACACACACACACACATACACACAGACACACACACAGCAAAGCCAGAAAGTAAATAGCTGATGAAAATAATACTACTTGAATTTGATTTTCCCTGAGATTCAAAGTTCGCTAACAGCCTCCATGCTCCTCAAAAAATAAAACAAACCTCTATAAACTTATTTCTTAGTTCTGTTTGAGAACTCCTAGTAAGTGTTGGGAACATTTTCCTTCTTTTGCCCATAATGCTGCACGTGGTCTTCTGTCTAAGTCAGAAGGAGAAAGGCCAATACTGCTAAGGGACAGTCTTTTTCCCTGTAAACTCTCTTCATAGTTTCTACTCACTTCTGGGAGTGAGAAAAAGTGCATGACCTTGATTTAGACCTTAAGGCCAAGAATACCAGATGGAAGAAGAAAAATCTGAGAATGTGTGGGAAGGTGTTAGAAAGGCAATAATGCTTCTTTGGGTGAAAATTGGAGAAAAGAGACTTTTCAGATATATGATTATTCAACTCAACATTTTAATCTTAATTTTATTTGACAATCTTTTTATTTTAAAAGAGTGAATTCTGAAACCACCAGGAGTAATCCATGTAATTATAATCATCTATGGAATACTACCAGTAATGAATTTAAATGAAACTGTATCAGCAGCCTTAACTCTAAGAGCTTCATTAATCAGAAATATTCAAGCAACGATTGTTAAATACATCAAATTTGTTCGGTTCAGTTAAAATACAGAAATCTTTTCTAAAATTAGATGCAGCAATTCATACATCTGATTTAATAAATAAAGATTTTTCATTAGTAGCATGTATAAAATTAGCTATGAGTTATGTAAACTAAAATCAAGACTTAGTAATAAGTCTTTTAACAACTATAAGGAACTTAAAATTTAACCATATAACTTTCTCAATCCATTGAAGTATGTTATTACCAAGCACAGAGAACTTCACTCAAAAATACACTAAATTTTCATAACATGCAAAGCGTTATGTAATATGCCTCTTGGTATTAGAATCCTTATATAACCTAGCTTCATATTTTATTTACATGACAAATCTTTTAGAGATCAGATGAATCAGAGACACATACCTTTATGTATTTTGTGTGGAAAGATCCTCCAACAAATGAATCTTCACTGGGAAATTTAAAGTGAATCAATTGGTGAAAAGATGTTGGGCTGGCTATATATAAGTTTCTAAATTTGTACTCTGACACTCAGAACAGATGCTACAGCCAAAAAAAAAGCCTGCCAAAAGCCAAATGCAGTAACTTATAATACTTTTCATGGTTTACAAACATAGCAAAACAAGTATAGACATAAATTTGATAATGTGCAAAAGTAAATCCAGTTTTCTTGTATGCATGTCCATTAAATTTTGAGATAAGATCATTTCTTTGAGGCAAGCAATGGAAAATAAGAGGCTCAATGTTCTTTCTACTGCTTGGGTTTTCAACCTAGGTAAGATTTCCTAATAATATCAATAAAAATCAACATATGGCACATAATCTTAACATGAAGACCTCAGAAGTACCACAATGAAATTAGGAGGTTATCAATTTTATCCAAATCTGAAATATTCAACTATATGAACAACATTTAGAAGACTACTTTTGGTCTGACTCTGATTTTATTTTCCTGCGTCTTACTTCTCTAGCAGAGGTCAAGAAAGATATATACTAATGTGATCTAGTGCTTTCATATGCAGGGCATGTTCTGTCTCATTTCCAGCTAAAACTAACTTCTGGAAGCTTTTCAACTCATCACTACCCCAGGAAGCTTCCTGAATTGGTTCTTCTTATCACTGAGTCACTATCAGGAAATGTCTCTCTGGTTCTAACTCTCAGTTCTATCTAACAGAGTTGCTAATACTCACAGTTCTCACTGAACTTGGTGTTTTAGTATCTGTTATGGTTTGAATCTTAGTTTCATACAGGCTCAAGTGGTGAAGGCTTGGTCCCCAACTGATAGTGCTATTTGGGAAGGTGATTAAGACTTCAGGAGGTGGAGCCCAGATGGAGGAAGTAGGTCACTGGGGTGTGCCTTTGAAGATTACATCTGGCCCAAATTCCCTTTTGTCTCCCTGTCTGGTCCCTGGTTGCCATGATGTGAAAAAATTTGCTTTACCACATGTTCTTGCTGTCATGATGTTCTGCCTCATCACAAGCCCACAGCAAAAAAGCAAGCCTACCATGGACTGAAACCTGTAAAATAATGAACCAAAATAAATATTTGGTACTTTTAAGGGTTTTTCTTAGGTATTTTGTCATAGTGACTAAAATCTGATGAACACAGTATCTAATAGTACTCTCACAAATGGAGGTCAAGTTCCCCTGTGGTCTGCTTGATCCTGATTCTTCTTTTTAGGACTTGAGACTTCCCACATATCCAAATCCCAGTAAATGAAATTTCCTATTCAAGGGCATTTAAGAATTGTCAACAGTAATTTTTCTACATTGTTTAAAAACACTTGAAATTTGTATTTCCTTAATCAGAGCTTCCCTTTCTAGGTCACTTGTCGAGTATCAACGAGTCACAGATTTATTGAGGACCAACTATTGAGTACCAGACAGTGTTCTTGATTCTTGGTATAGAAGTAGACAAACTAAACATTTCTGTATTAAAAACATGTGTTTTAATATCTATTACACTGCATCTACCACTAATAACAATGACTATCTTGGCATTATTTTACAAACTCTAAGTTCAAGTCATTAAATTTTTGTAACACCGTTATGGGTTATTATTGTTCCATTCTTTTAGATAAAGGAATAGTGATTAAGTAACTTGTCCAAGACCATCACCTACTTGGCAGAAGACACAATGTTTGAAGCCTAGGAGATGGAGTCCAAAGGTTATATTATCACCTAAAGTAATTATAGGAATCAACCAGGTAGAATATATATATATATATATTTATTTATTTATTTTTAAATTTTTATTTTATTCATATGTGCACACAATGTTTGGGTTATTTCTCCCCCTTCCCCCACCCAGAATATATATTTAAATGGAGGGTAAGAAGGGAAGAAAATCTGAGTACTCAGGAAAGACATATTAAGAAACTCATTTGGATGGAGAATGGGTGATGAGAAAGAAGTCTCTTGAAAGACTATGTGAGCATTTCAAGCAAAGGTTTGAGATAGCAAGGAGTTTGGCAGTTTGTGGTTTAAACAGAAAGCCAAGATGGGTAATGATTTAGTACCAGAGAAAAATTGAAATAGATGAGTCAGAAATGCAGGCAGAGGCCAGATCACAAAACAGTTTGTAGGTCATGGTAAGGAATCTAGGTGTTATTCTAAATGAAATGAGATGTTGCTTAAGGGTTTCAAGGAATGGAATGATATGATCAGTCCTATGCAAAAAGGAAAAGGGAGAATGGTATTGAAATAACATAGGCATGAGGCAAGGGAACTTGAAGTAGGTGAAATGGAAAGAAAGAATTACTAGAAAAGTCCTGGCAGCTGAAAGATGGATAAATTCAATGGTTCAAGACTGGAGCAGGAGAGTCAGTAAAAAGATGACTCATACAAAGAAATGATGAATTATCTGAATTGAGGAAGTGACCATGGAAATAGAGGGGACTGAAAGGTGCATGATATATGTGGAAAAAATATTTTATAGGTTACACATTATATTAGATAGGGGGAGAAGGAAGGGCAAATATTGAGGATGACTTCTATTAATTCTGGCAACTTTTCTGTCCTAATGTACAAAGCCAGACAAAAGATCCAAATTGTGATATGATATAGTAGTCATATTTGAATCATCCTTTCTATTCCTTCCTTAAGGGTTTCTTATTTAATTATTTTTATTGGCAGGTACCAATTATAAACATTAATGGGGTTCAGTGAGATATATAAACACATGCATACAGTCTGCCCTGATCATACAGTGTGTGCAAGGTAGTTAACATTAAAGATCTTTATGTGAGAACATAGGTACCTTCCTGTAACAGCAAAAGACTCAGGTATATTGTTTTTTTCCTGACATATAAATTTAAACATAACATTTTCAATCTTATTCCATTTAGATAAATTTTAAACTTTTTGTAACAGTACACTTTTGAACATAGTTTCTTTCATGAAAAACTGATTTGATTAATGAATTGCAAAAATATATAAACCAAAAATGGCATATAAAAATGAAATTAATCTAAGCCTCAAATGAACTATAAGCCATGTAACACTGAAGACCAAATGACTTCAGTTCCTGAGAACTGTATTCACAGGCCAATAATATACTTGCCAAATAGTTTAAAGCTACTCTTATAAATGTAACACTATATATATATGCAAATGCATTTAAATATTTTTTCATTAACAAATCATATGATTTTTATATAGTATGGTGAAGGCCAGAGTTTAGGTCAGTATTACAAATAATCACAGCATCTTCAATTGATTATTTTAGTTTATATATTTAAAGAATTGTGTCTGGTTTCTAAGTGACCATAAAGCTTAAATACAGACTCTCATATTGATATAAAGAGCACAATGCTCTGCCTACAAATCCCTTCTTTCCTATTTTTTCATTTTCCTTCCTCCCCTCCCTCTCTCCATCCATCCCTCCTTTCACTCTGTTCTCACTCTCTGAATTCTCTCTCAAGTTTATAT